ACATAATCGGTCCAACTGATCTTCTCCATCCTTCTCCAACACCACATTTCGAAACTTTCCAGATGTTTCTGATCTACTGCCCTAAGTGTCCATGTTTCAGCCCCATACAGAGCTATGCTCCAAATGTAGCATTTCACTAGTTTCTTCCTCAAATTTAAGTCCAATTTGCTGGTAAAAAGATTCTTCTTCTTGCTAAATGCAGCTTTTGCCATGGCAATCCTGGATTTAATTTCACTAGTACACCTTCCATCATCTGTTAACAAGCTACCCAAATATTTAAAACATTTCACATTCTCCAGTTGTTTTTGGTCTATCTTTATTGTGATTGGGGTTGGTTGTCTCGAAATTTTCATTACTTTTGTTTTCTCCACATTCATTTCCATGCCATAGCACCTTCCAATTTCAATTAGTCTATCAATCATGCCCTGTAGCACAGTTTCTTCTTTAGCCATTAACACAAGGTCATCTGCATATTTCACAGTTTGAATAATTTACCCTCCTAATTTGAAGTCTCCGGGCCCATTCTTCATAAAATTACTATTGCGAAGAATGGGATTACAATATTTCCCCCTTAATTTCAGTTGTTATAAAGGACTGAAACAGTAATTTGAAATTGTCCACGGTCGGTTGGTCGCCGGAGTACATAATTACGTTCTACAAATGTGGGTAGAGTTCAGCTGATGTTAGTAGTTAAGTTACTTTTGTCAAATTTTCCGTTTTAGAGTGTTTAGGTGAACTCGAATGGCACACTGTGTGACGCTCCGTTTAATTGGTTAGTAGTGTTCCACACTGATAAATATTTGTGCCACGTCAACATGGAGCGATTAGAGAGTACAGTCACATGTGCTTTAGAGGTAACAAAGATAGTATAGTTTATGTTCAAACAAATTTAGTACTTAAAAAAAATAATCTGTGGTAGTGCACTAAAATACTAATTTCCTAATTTTATTTTTTACTTTCTGCCGGTCACGGTAGCCGAGCGGTCTAAGGCATGTACTGTCTTCGCTCGCTCGGAAGCCGGGGTCGTGGGTTCGAATCCCACACAAGGCATGGATTTTTGGTGTGTGTATGCGTTTATTCTGTGTTTGTTTTGTTCTCTGTTAAGGTTGAGGCCTTCTGACGAGCTGATCACCCGTCCAAGGAGTCCTACCGTCTGTAAAATAATCATGAAACTGAGAAATCAGCCCTACGCTCCAAAGTGGGAGCGAGAGGAGAGGAAAAAATTAAACACTTTCTCAAATGATCGTTGAAGTAATGAAAAATTAGGCGTTGAAGTTACCGACATCTTTACTAACTCGTCTCCAACGCAAACAGTAGCAAAGGTTACCAATGTAACCGTATGCAATACTGCATTCATTCATCTGTGGCTCTACGGCCTTTTGTTGGACCTTGGCCGCTTTTTCAGTTTCTTAATCTTTTTACATAATCGTTAGGACTCCTTGGGTGGGGAATCAGCCCGTCGCAAGGCCGCTACCTGCGGCTTCTACTTCAAATTATGCCACGCCAACTTCCCACCAAATTCCTTACACTGCGTTACATGCCACAAGATAAGATTCTTCAAATATAAAGTGGTTTTTAAACAGACTGACGTATTTTAAGAATTAACTCCATTGGAGGCTGTCGGAACTCGGTACTTTTCAATTCCATTCAAACTTGTGGTATGGCAACAACGTTAGTAGTACCACTGAGTTTGGGTTCTGAAGTTTTGTTCTGTCGTATCAAGGCAAGGGTATAGGTTGAGGCTATTTGAGAATACCTGTGTAAGAAGCGCATTTGGAACTAAGAGACGAACGTGACAGGAAGATGGGGAAAGTATTGTGAGGTTCGGAAATGGTCTCGTCAACTATTGCTATTAGGATGATTTCATGAAGGCCGAAGAAGTGGGCCGAAAATGTAGCACACAAGGCAAACGAGAGAAATGCATATATAGTTTTACTTGGAAATCCTGAAAGGAGGAGACCACGTCTTAGGAGACTTGGGAATATCGGGAAGATGATATTCAAATATAAAATAAAGATGGTGTTTCCTTGTATTTTATGAAGACGTATTGGGAAGTGCAGTACTTGTCACATTCTTAATCTCCAGAGTAAACAGGGATGAGTTGTGCTTTTCATGTCCCGAGTACATTTAAGGGTGAGGGTACACCAATGAAACTGACAACTGCAACACAACCATTCGCGGAAATTGCGGTTGCGGTTGCGTTTGGCTGCCAATTTCCTTGATGTGCCCTCACCCTAACACCCAGGAAAGAACACCCTTCTGCACTGAATAGGACGTTAGGTGAGCCTCGAAGCGATTTGGATACGGTGGGAAAGAGAATAGGCTTTAAAGAAATATTGTGTTCAGAGTGCCTGGCGACAGATCCAAAGGTACAGGGTTCTATTCTCGGCGCTGCCAGATTTCCTGAGAAGTAGTGGTTCTAGAACGGGGCGCACTAAACATCGTGAGGATAATTGAGGAGTTACTTCAAGGAAATTGCGTCTCCGGTCTAGAAAACCGAATTTAACTACCATGGGGGTTCGTTGCGCTGACCACGCGACACCCTCTATCCGCTAAATTTGGCACTAACTTCGCCGAAAAGCAGCGGTAGCTCGGTCGGTATAGTTTGCTTGCGGACTAAGACCACGGTGTTTGTTTTTTTTTTTATGAGGTCGACTCGGTTCAAATATATCACTGTGTAGTCCAGTGGGCATGCTCTTGTTAGCACGATAATGAACTTTAAGATTGTATAATAGGCGGGAAATTCATTACCCAGCTCAGACAGTGTTAGCGTCTCAAGAGGAATTCTGTAGCATCGATTAAATTGGACAGTTAATTTGATTCAGTGGACGCTTGAATCGTGACGCCACTGTAAACATTTGAAATGGTACGAGTCCTTGAAACTAGACTGTCCTTCGGGTTCACAAAGCGCATGCATGTTGCATTCCCCTGACGATGCGTGAACAAATTGTACTTTGGATTAAATCAGCCAGAAAATGGCGTTTGGAAATCTCACAGGACAATTCCTACATTGCCAAATGGTCGTCATAGTTGTGGTATGATCTGTGAAATTAACTCTCCGCCCAAATGTCCAACACAATGGATATTACAGAACGTGATATATTTTACGTGGTCGTAATATGCGAGCTCAGTACTTCATGCTCGGTTTGAAAGAATTTCCAAATCGTGTTCATTATAATTCTCAATTTATATGACTGTGAGTTATTCAAGGAGCTGACAATTCATAAAAATGTATATTATGCAAACAGCAACGGCTTTAATTTTCCGGAAATATGTTAATAAATTGTAAAATTTGATGTATGTACGAGTAATTTACTCTTATTAAGTCGGTTAATTAACGAAGCTCACAGTATCGAAATGAAATGGAGTCACTGCGAGCTCAAGCGGTTAGTCGCAGGCTTCCCGCCGGCGCGGCCCGCGTTCCCGTCCGGTCAGGTCGTTTGGATTTGTGGAGCAAAAAGTAGCACGAGGAGGTTTTCTCTGGGTACATCGGTTTCCCCTGGCAATTATCAATCCACCAAATATTCCATCCCCATAGTCACCCGATGTAGGCCAATTGGTGACTGACGTGACAAGTGAACTCAGCCTCATCCCACCCCCTAGTATTTGCAACAACAAAACATACTTAGACGAGTTACTTGTAGCCTGAATTTTATTTTGTTCTCATCATTAAATNAATCCCAGAAGACTGCTTTCTTCAGGGTATACACATGTCTGTATATGTTTGAAAGTAATTACATTTTTTGGCGCGTTAAAAACGGAAAGACATTAGAATGCGCCTTCTGGCTCGACCGTAACTGTCCACATATCGCGTTGCGTGCGACAGTTCGAGAACCATTGAAGGGTCTTTCATCAACATGAGGTAAAATGTAAAGTTTTATCTGCTGTTAAATAATTTAACATTAAGCAGCGAATACGTATAGGGGAGTGAGGTATAGCTCCACCATTCTTGACCCCGGCATTAGATGGAGTGAGCAGTCAGCTTCAATCCCAGGCCGCTTTACCCTCGGGGTAATCGCAGCCGGTACCCATTGGATAGGTGGCAGGGTGGACGCCAGACCTGGTGTGGATATTGTGAGAAGACAAAGTTCTTGTCGATGGCAGGATTCGAACCCCAACCATATTTTAAAAGATGTATGTTGAGGATTTTTAGTGAAGCCTGTCAACCAATTTCAGTTTTGTTTAAAACTTGGCAGTATTAATGAACACGTTACGAGCATATGGAGACCTGCGTTCCTTCGCTTCAGTCGAGAGACCTGAATGGAAAGGACCAATCGGAAGAGAGAAACACAGATGAGAGTATAATACTAAAATTAATGTTAAACATATTGTAACGTGTCGGCAATCCAGGAGAATAACTTCTATGGAAACGCTAGAACAGACCGTTGCCTAGGAAGTAACAATAGCGGCATTGTAATCCCAACAGTGAGCCGTTGTGTAGAGAACATCGAATCTCCACGGTTACGACGAATACGCGAAGCGTTCCCACAGAGGCAACGCGATAACAATGGGTCATTGCGTAGGAAACGCGGAGCCAACAGAGCAACGTTTCCACTGCTATAACAGAGGATTCATTTCCCTAGCAGCGGCCGAGGTTATAAATAGCCCAGCTTCGACGAGAGACGGTCAGTCTCGGAATAGCCAGCTAAGGAGTCAGTCTCATCGAGCCATTTAAGAAGTCAGTCGCTATCCAGCCTTCGAAGTAGAGTGTCGTGGAACATCCGCCGCAGAAGACATTTGAGGTGTCACAGTGAATGGTAGTTGTACTCGTGCTTGTGTAGGCGTGAAGAACAATAAAGGTTCCACTTAATTTGAGACCTACGTGGATTTACTTGTAGCGTGACACACAAAACACGCTACATTGGTGTCAGAAGTGGGATTGAACTGCACACGTGACTGACAAGATTCGAACTCAACACGTGACAACTGGTGTCAGAAATTTTACGAACCTACACACGCCACACACTAATTTTGTGCATCGAGTTCTTCACTGATATAAAATGGAGATGCAGCAAGTGATAGAAATGCTGGCAAGAATGGAGGCCAAGGCGGAAGCCAGACACAAAGAGCTGATGGCCGATTGGAAAGCCTGGGGGGAAGAGAGTAGAACCACCCACGAGAAGATTGAGCCCCACCCAGAAGTGATGCAGTCCATACTGGAGCATCGAGAAGTCCCCGTAGAAGACGCCCCGAGAATACCGGCCGGAGAACCGAAGGAGAGGCGCAGGGACCAAGGACTGGCCGCGGAGCGCCGCCGCCAGAAACAAAGGGTTTGCAACGGGGAGATCGTGGGCCCCACAAAAAATTGGCCAGCACGCCGTGTGGAAGCGGCACGGCAGGAGGGAAACCGCAGGAAGACATCCCGTCGCGCGACAGTGGCACGACGTTGGAGAAACGGCGTACTAGAGCGCAACTGGGAATCCGTCAACGGAAGATGTCAAGTAGCCCAGATGCTTATTCCTCGGAGCAGGGTGAAGGAAGTTCTGAGTGAACTACACGGTGGACCGTCAGGAGGTCACTTCGGTGTCAACAAAACTCTAAATAAGGTCCGGCAGAGATTTTACTGGCTCCAGGCAAGAACCGATATTGAGAGATGGTGTCGACAATGTGACACATGTGCAGCCAGTCGGGGACCGCGGACAAGGAGTCGTGGCCAAATACACCAATATAATGTCGGAGCCCCCTTCGAGAGAATAGCCATTGACATCGCGGGGCCCTTCCCACGAAGCTACCAAGGAAACCGATACTTACTAACCGCTATGGACTACTTTACCAAGTGGCCGGAAGTGTACGCCATTCCAAATCAGGAAGCGTCGACAATAGCGGAAGTACTGGTTGCCAACTTTTTCTGCCGCTTCGGCATACCTCGGGAGTTGCACAGTGACCAAGGCCGTAACTTCGAATCTCAGCTACTGCAAGAGGTTTTGCAACGCCTGGGAGTAAGCAAGACGCGCACAACACCCTTCCACCCACAGTCGGATGGCACGGTAGAACGCTACGTCAAAACCATCGAGGAACACTTGCGGAAGATCGTCGCATCCCACCAGAGGGACTGGGATGAGAGGCTACCCCTCTTTCTCCTAGCTTACAGAGCATCCATCCACGACACTACAGGCTTGACCCCTGCTAGCCTAGTATTCGGACGAGAGCTCCGACTACCTTGCGACCTGCTGTTTGGGGTACCCCCTGGCAAAGAACTACCCGTAACCGATTATGCAGCGGACTTGGTGGAGCATCTGCACGACATCCACGATTATGCACGGAAGCACCTGAAGCTTGCCAGTGACCGGATGAAAACTCGGTACGATAAACTGGCCAATTCCGCAGGGTACGATGAAGGCGACAGAGTTTGGCTCTATCGCCCAATCCGAAAGAAAGGGAAATCGCCGAAACTACAAGCATCATGGGAAGGTCCTTACAAAATAGTGACCCGGATAAATGATGTGGTATACAGAATCCAAAAGAACCCTAGGTCGAGGATGTTGGTAGTACACCTGGATCGGCTCGCGGCCTACCATGGAGCTGCTCGGGACGAGTACAACTGAAGAGAGGGGTGGATGCGGTAAAATGAACGGCACAATAAGACGCGCGAAGGACATCGAGACCGAATGCAGACGTTGCCAGCAAAACACCACGGCATCGAAACCGAGGGAGAACCTTTAGGCTGTTCGGGGACGAACAACCTTTAGAAGGGAGCAATGTAACGTGTCGGCAATCCAGGAGAGTAACTTCTATGGAAACGCTAGAATAGACCGTTGCATAGGAAGTAACAATAGCGGCACTGTAATCCCAACAGTGAGCTGTTGTGTAGAGAACAGCGAATCTCCACGGTTACAATGAATACGCGAAGCGTTCCCACAGAGACAACGCGATAACAATGGGTTATTGCGTAGGAAACGCGGAACCGACAGAGCATCGTTTCCAC